ATAACAATTCGATTGACACAGATGTTTCTTCATCTAAGCCAGGCATTGCACTACGTCATTGTTGTCCTGTGACTCATTATTACAACCAGCCTTTGTTCAGACAAAGTCAGCTGCTACTGTACTGATAAGAAAAACAAGCATGCCTGCTTATGTTGGGAAGTGGAAGGGAGATGTGGAGGGGCTTCGGGGTAGGTCCAAATTGTACTTAAGTGAAAAAAAAAAAGAAGAAGAAGAAGAAGAAGAAGAAGCTTAAAACATAAATCATTCCATTTTGTAGTAATGACAAGTTTATGTAGTCTTCTTTAATATACAACATGCGTGAAGAAAAAGTCATGTGGAGACTGTTTTTGTAATCACTGACATGGACTTATTAAGTAACTAACATTTTAGGATTATTCAACATGTCACATGAGACAGACACACACACAGAGAGCTCATATTTCGTGTGATGCGGTTAAATTTTAGAATCATTTGGTGCCACACAATCAGTATAATCTGGCTGATATCATAGGGACTCCATCCATTCATCCATCTGTCCATTCATTTTCTACAGAGTCACATAAGCGTTTGTTATATTGCCCTTCATTTCATGGTCTATTTATTTTTTTCAACTAATTAAGTAATTTCTTGATCTACAGAAGACACACTTAACAAGTGACATTATAAGCCACATTGCTGCAACTGTAAGGTCCATTTAGTGCCATGCTAATGTGTTTAATCTCATTACATGACCTTTAATGCAAAAAACCAAAAATGTCCTTGGAATGTAAAAAACCCAGAAATTATCCTGCAGTTCTTGCTCATCTAATACAGTTGAAACTCATTGCTAAAATTTGTATGTTGCAGGTTTGGTCGTAAGTCAATGATTCTGGTGTCTTTCATTGCCTCCACAATATTAGGAGCCACTTCTGCCTTCTCCACTTCCTACACTATGTTTGCAATCTCCAGAGCAGTCTGTGGTGCAGCCCTCAGTGGGATGTCAATCATTGGTGTGGTCCTCGGTAAGAAATTTATGAAACACAAAGTCTAATGTCCATTCACTTAAATTTCACTTAAATACATTTCTACAGTACCCCTTTAATCAGTGTAAAACCTGCTGTGAAGTGTGCAATGTTTTTTGTTTATTGGATATTATTCTTTATAAAAATATAACTTTTTAAATCATCTGAACTCTTTCTTTCCTTCAAAAATATGTTTCATCATTATG